AAAAAAAAAAAAAAAAGCCCAACAGGGAGGACGTATGCCTTTACAGAATACATCGCAAATAAGAAACAGAAAGCAGAACCATAAAGAACAGGGTTTTTACACACAAACAAGAAAAACAAAATTATTTTTCTCCCCCTAACAGCAGGGAAAGGCAACAGGTGTTGGTGTTTTTCAGCCTTGTGAGGAAGTGATAAAAAACAAAAACAAAAACAAAAAATCTACAACCATGTAATAGAAAGCAGTGTGGTGAAAATAACTTATCACCTTTTTAAGTTTCCGAGTCCTCATCTGCACAATGGGAAAATATTTATCATACTAACACAGGACTGCCATAAAGGATGATGAAGATCATGCAGATAACGGTGCTCTGCAAACTACTGATATGCTATACAATGTAACCTACACCTACACAAAGTCTTCCTTTAAGCTCAGCTGTGAAAGATCAGTGGACCTGTTACATCTTCCCCTGAGCGTTTACTTACCTGATGATGAGCAAAACATGCCAGTGCTAAGAACCAAGAAGGCCAGCATCATCCGACTCACATGCAGCCCAAACTTCTTGCACACAGCCCTAGGAGAAAGGCAAAGACTATCAGCATGGCAAATCTTAGGGACAGACATTTCAAATCAAAAGACAAAAACATGCCTGCTTCACAGAGAACACTGAAGATTTAAAGTCAAACACAGAACTGCCTGGACAGGTTTGTCAGCAATTTTGTGTGCCTAACAAACCCAAACATTCTTATTCTTTAAGTAGAAGAGAAGCGCTCTACCTAAAAAAAAAAAAAATGCATGCTTTCTGGACTAAGAGTAGGTAGACGATCAATAGGAAAACAGCATCATGTAGTGGAAAAACAATAGGCCTCACATTCAGAGGGGCACAGGTTCAAATTTGGGCTCCTCCACTTACTAACAGTGGTAGGTACCCTGGTCTAGCGACAACACTGTCAGATTCCTTATCTGTAAAGTGAGGGTAATGCTAAGGTCTACTTTCTAAGATTTGTGTGAGGACAATACATGGCAAAGTGCTGGGAGCACCTGGAACAGAGTGACTCAATACAGGGTAGTTATCAGAAGAGAAGAGTAGGAGATACACCACGCGTCACTAAGTCCACATTCCTCAAAATGAAGCAATTACACACTTCCTTTACCTCTTTCGTGGAGGTCTTTAACCCTGTGAACATTATGAGCAATCACTGCTGCTTCATTTGGTCAATTTTGTTCCAACATATGCCTGCGTAAACCATTCTCTTGCTCAGGTCCCTTAGAGAAGCTCAGAGCTTCTTTCTGGATTACCTTGGCTTCCAGCTAAGGCTATCTTTTGTAAGTGTCTTTACTGAGGATCTGCTAATGGCAAATTCCCTCTTTTTTGTTTTTTGGGGGTTTTTTTTTTTTTGGTCTAAAAAAAAAAAGTCTTATTTAGTGCTTCGTCTTAAAAGAGGATTTCGCTGAGTACACAATTTTAGGATGAAGCCATTTTCTCCAAGAACTTTGAATATATATATATTTTTTTAATGTTCCGGATTTTAAGAAGGCTTCTGTCAGTCTAATATTCCTTTGTAGATATATTCTATTAGTTCTCTGTCAACTTTTAAGATCTTCTTTACCCTTAGTGTTCTATGTAGTTTCACTAATTCCTTTTTATTTACCCAGCTCAGGATAGGTTAGGCTCCCTGAATCTATGAATTAGGATCTTGGGTTTCAGGGATCCTGGAAAATTCTTAACCATTATTTCCCCAAATACGGCCTTCTCCCCATTCTATCATCTCCTAGAATCTGATTAGACGAACACTGGATCGGTCAAATCTACCACAGAGGTAGGTGTCTTAATCTCTTCATATTTTCTTTTTATTTCCTTTTTGTCGTGCTGTACTTCATTCTTACTCATTTCTTCCAATCGATCTAACTTACTCATTAACACGTCTAATTGGCGGTTTCAACTAGCCACTGAACTTTAAATATCAGTTGTTCACTTTCACGTCTACAAGTTGTGTTTGGTTCTTTTTTCAAATCTGCTGGGCCATTTTTGTAGTCTCACTCCTTTTTCCTTTTAGCTTTTCTATTTTATCGTGGTAATAACACATGGGAGACGTACCCTCTTAACAGACTCTTAAGTGTGAACTACAGCATCGTTAATAGGCACAATGTTTACAGTAGCACTCTAGCACTTACCCATCTTGCACAACTGAAATTTTATATGCATTTATCAGCAACTCCTCATTTCCCCCTCTCCCTAACCCCTGGCAACCACAATTCTATTCTTGGATTCCATGAGTTTGATTATTTTAGAATCCTCACACAAGTCAAATTAGCCAGTGTTTGTCCATCTTTAATTGGTTAGCTCATTTGGCCTATCCTCAAGGCTCATGCATGTTGTCACATTATTACAGGATTTCCTTCTAATACTGAGTATTCCATTCTACGTATATACCACATTTCCCCCCCACCATGCATCAGTCAATGGACACTTAACTTGTTTCCCATCTTGGCTACTGTGAATAGTGCTACAATAAACATGGAAGTACAGATACCTCTTCAAGATCCTGTTTCGGTTCTTTTAGATGAATACCCAGAAGTTGGATTGGTGGATCATATGGTACTTCTACTTTTAGTTTTTTGAGGATCCTCCGTACTGTTTTTGCACAGTGGCCATATCATTTTTCTTTCCCACCTACAGGATCCAAAAGTTCCAAACCATTCTTGCCAACACCAGCTGTTTTTTCGTTGGTAATAGCCATTCTAACGAGAATGAGGTCATATAGCTCATTGTGGTTTTGATTTGCATTTACCAGAGGATTAGTGACACTGTATCTTTTCATATACCTGTTCGCTAAGCATGCATCTTCTTTAGAAAAAGGTCTGTTCAAGTTCTTGGTCCTTTTTTAACCAGTTTGTTATTGAATTGGACGAGTTTCTTATATATTGTGGAACTGAACCTCTTTTCAGATCATGGTTTTCAAATATTTCCTCCCATTCTCCAAGTTCCTTTTCACTCAATGGATTACTTAGGCTCTTGTTTCTTATTCATGTTTTCAATTCTTTATTTCTTTAAAATTATCATTTATTTTATATTCTTATTTTAATAATTCCTAACAAATGAAGTTTTGCAGGTCAGCTTTCTGTTGTTATTTCTGCTGGTTCTCACTTAAGTCTGCTTCTCTTCTGTGCTTTGTGATTTGTTTTTATTATAACTTCTTGTTCAGTAGAACTTTATTTGTCATAGTTCTTTGACACCTGGATTAAAAATCGATTTCTCTGGAGAAATTTTCCATTTGTTTTTGCAAGATGCCTAGGAGTAATACCAACCCGTAACAGTTTTCAAATAAATTCTCAACTTGGGGTGGGTGGAGGGTTTGAGGGACCACAAAGGTGATTTGAACTCAGTCCTAAACCCCTAAGTAGACCACTATATGGTTACAATCCTCAAAGACAGCACTGGCTTTCTTTTTTCTCCCCTGTGCCACCCCGACTCAACACCAGAGAATTTTATCTGACATTTTTATCTGTTTTGCAGCAGGAAGATTTTTTAAATAATTATTATTAAGTCTAAATACCCCTTAAAGCATTATTAAGATGTGTTAGGTTTCAAGTAAAAAAAAAAAAAAAAAAAAAAAAAAAAAAAAAAAAAAAAAAAAAAAAAAGTGGCTATTTTTATTACTGTGACACTTAAATGCTTTTCTTTTTTTTATTTTTTTTAACATTTATTTATTTTTGAGACAGAAAGAGAGCACGGGTGGGGGAGGGGCAGAAAGAGAGGGAGACACAGAATTTGAAACAAGCTCCAGGCTCTGAGCTGTCAGCACAGAGCCCGATGCGGGGCTCGAACCCACGAACCGTAAGATCATGACATGAGCTGAGGTCGGACACTTAACCGACTGAGCCACCCAGGCGCCCTGACACTTAAATGCTTAATACTTCCACTAACATTCAACCAACCAACAGGTACTTGGGCAAAGACCACGTCCTGAGTGCAAATAAGAGCAGTGAGTCCCTGGGGCACCTGGGTAGCTCGGGAGGTTAAGCGTCCAACTTCGGCTCAGGTCATGATCCCGTCATTCGTGGGTTTAAGCCCTGAGTCAGGCTCAGGACTAACAGCTCAGAGCCTGAAGCCTGCTTCAGATTCTGTGTCTCCCTGTCCCTCCCCAGCTTGCATGCTCTCTCAAAAATAAACATTAAAAAAAAATTTAAGGGGCGCCTGGGTGGCGCAGTCGGTTAAGCGTCCGACTTCAGCCAGGTCACGATCTCGCGGTCCGTGAGTTCGAGCCCCGCGTCAGGCTCTGGGCTGATGGCTCGGAGCCTGGAGCCTGTTTCCGATTTTGTGTCTCCCTCTCTCTCTGCCCTCCCCCGTTCATGCTCGGTCTCTCTCTGTCCCAAAAAAAAATTAAAAACATTGAAAAAAAAAATTTAAGAGCAGCAAGTCCCACAACAGGAATAATTTCCCATCATCTAAGCTCAAGGCAAAGAGGTAAATCATATTTATCTTGAGACCAAAAATAAGGCTCTACTAAATTCTACCAAATAAAACACCAGTTAGAGGTGTTTACTTTTTTTTTTTATTTTTTATTTTTTTTATTTTTTTTTTCAACGTTTA